TCAAAAACTTTAGGAGTCAGCTGTCCATGGTAGTCCTTAAGATACCAACACAATAACACAAGCCCCTGGACTGTTTGTTGTGCTCTGTGACCCAGTTTCTTGCCCATGTGTTCCGCTTCCCAGTTAATTAATCATTCAGTACACCTGTGTTTGTTAATTATCCCTTGCATTTAAGTTCGAGTCTGTGCTGTCTATCCTTGTCCGAGATTGAACATCAACGCCTGTGTTTCCCGCCGCGACCGACGAGCCATCGCTAGAGAGAGCGACAGAGCTGAGGATCGCCGCGGAGCCAGAGGCCGTGACCTACTGGCTCCCCCTCGGCTCCTAGCTCCCTCGCCTCCACCGTCACCCATCGATCCATCAGCTCCACCGGGCTCCCTCGTCCCTCCGGCTCCGCCTTGGTTGGGCGTCGACCCACCATCGCCTCTGGACTCCACTCCTCTGGCTGCGCCTCGTCGCTTTGTCCCACCAGCTCCGTTGGGCTCCTTCCTCCCGCCAACTCCACCTTGGTCCTCAGTCGCTCCGGCTCCGCCGCGGATCTCCGGATCTCCGCCTCAGCCTTGGTCGCCAGAGCCCTCGGCTCCACCCTGGCCCCCGAATCCTCGGCATCCCCCTGGCTCGTTGGCTCTCCATCTCCGCCTCGGGCTCCTCCACCACCTGCTCCGCCGCCGTTGGTCAGCCCCCTGGAATTGGTGGCCATTCCTCCTCCATGGCTCCTCCCTCCGTCATCTCCTCCCTGGACTCTGTCTGCCGGCCCCCCCCTGGTGTCCGTCCCTCCTCCTGAGCCTCCTCCCTAGTTCCCACCCATTCCGGGGAGTAATGTCACGCCCCTGGATTGTTTATTGTGCTCTGTGACCCAGTTTCTTCCCTATGTGTTCCGCTTCCCAGTTAATTAGTCATTTAGTACACCTGTGTTTGTTAATTATCCCTTGCATTTAAGTTAGAGTCTGTGCTGTCTGTCCTTGTCCGAGATTGAACGTCAACGCCTGTGTTTCCTGTGTTCCCAGCTGCCAAATGTTACTTCCTGGATATTCTGAATTAAAAGACTATTGTTGTTCGCGTACTCCTGTTCTCCTCGTTCCTCGCTCCGCGCCATAGGCTAAATTGTGACAACACTCAGCAAAATACCGTCTAATTATCATTATCGTTAAAATACAAGAAAATATCTTTTTTTTTTTTGTCGTTGCATTTTTTGCATTATTGAAACTATTGAAACTATTTTCCTTATTAATGCTGTACAGTTTCTTTGACACAATCTGTATTGTTAAAAGCGCTATATAAATAAAGGTGACTTGACTTGACTTGTCAATATCACACACCCTATAGTTCCATCCCACACAAGCTCGTCGAGACAGCAATGACAAGACACCATGTTCCAGAGATGATTAGAAACATAATTCTGGACTACTACAGTGACTTTAAGTTGAGAGTCTCCTCAGGGTCACTAATATCTTCATGGCACCGACTGGAGAAGGGTAAATCACTGGCTGCACAATCTCAGTGCCACTCTTTGCATCAGCCATGAACATGATCGTCAAGTCAGCGGAGGTGGAATGTAGAGGGCCAAAGACTAGATCTGGTACTCGGAGAGCATTCATGAGCATTCATGGATGACCTAACGGTGACAGCAACATCTGTTCCTGGGTGCAGATGGCTTCTTCGAGGACTGGAACAGCTCATTGCATGGGCAAGGATGAGTTTTAATAAACCAGCCAAGTCCAGGTCTCTGGTCCTGAAAAAGGGAAAAGTGGCTGACCAGTTCTGATTTACCCTGGGAGGGACTCAGATTCCAACAGTGACAGAAAAACTGGTCAAGAGCCTGGGCAAGATCTTTGACAGTTCCCTGAAGGACACAGCCACAATGCAACAAACCAGGAGTGATCTGACTGCCTGGCTCGCCGTGATAGATAAATCGGGGCTTCCAGGAAATCTGGATATATCAACATGCAGTTTTGCCAAGGCTGCTCTGGCCTCTTCAAGTGTTTGAGGTGCCAGTGACAACAGTGGAAGCCACAGAGAAAACTATCAGTCAGTTCCGTCAGTTCAGCCAGTTCAGGAGGTGGTTGGGGCTCCCTCGCCCTCTAAGCAGCATTGCCCTGTATGGGCATTCCACCAAGCTGTAGCTTCCTATCAGTGGCCTAGTGGAGGAGTTCAAAGTAACTCGAGCCAGGGAGGTTATGATGTGTACCGAGACTCCTCCGACATTAAAGTGGCGGCTGCAGGAATCCTTGTGAAGACCGGTAGGAAGTGGCAGGCACAGTTTGCTGTAGATAGAGCGGAGGCACGGCTGCAGCATAACATCTTGGTGGGCACTGTGGCAGTGGGGTGGGCAGGGCTGGGCAGTTTTTCCCAACTACTTTATGACAAAAGCCATGGGAAGGAGAAACGTCAACTGCTACAGGATGAAATACGAGCAGAGGTGGAGGAAGAACGCTATAGCAAGATGGTCGGCATGTACAAGCAAGGAGCCTGGACCAGATGGGAGCAGAGCCTCGCAAGATCACTTGGAAGGAGCACTGGAGAGCTGAACCATTGTGCATTAAGTTTCTAATCCAACCTGTATAGCTGGGGAATGGCAAATACTCCAGAGTGCCAACTGTGCCAGAAGAGGGGTACCCTGGAGCACTCAGTTGTTGTTCCAAGGTATTGGGGGAAGGGTGATACCGATGGCGCCATGATCAAGTCTTAAGGTCTCTGGCGGATACAATCAGCACAGTGATTCAAGATAGTAAGAGTCAGCACGCCCCCAAACAGTACATCACCTACATCAGAGCTGGGGAGAAGGCACAGGGTTGGCCTAGCTCCACGGGAGGGATTCTTGCCACCGCATGGGACTGGCAGCTCCAGGTATATCTAGGATCACCCCTGGCTGGGTTGCCCGGACGAGGGTGTATGATGATTAAAGACCTGAAACACCCCACGACCCCGGGTTCATCACTGAAGATGTGTCCAAGTAGCACCAGAAGGTGTATGTTAGAATCAAGGTGGCCTTCTTACAGTGTAATTACACAAATAAGTACTAAGTACTATTAATAAATAAACAACAGGCTACTTAGGGTTAGGATTTTCTATTGGTAAGTAGGCTACATGTAACGTGTAACAAAGGCACAAAAATAAAGTGTTAGGCTACTGTTTTTTTGTTTGATCCCAAAATAATAATAATAATAATAATAAATTCATACATAAATAATGACGAGAGTATTGGCAATGCAGTGAAGCGATTATCATTAATTTACCAACCTGAAGCATGTTCTTTAGTATGCGGGGCCAATTTTACTGAGTAAATTATTTACAGATCAGGTGTAAGGAAAAGAAAAAAAAATGGAATCTGATATAAAGTTAATTTAGAGATATTGTATTTACAAAACAAAAAAGGTTAGAACATAGATTGTTAGGAATGCCATTCCAAAATGACCTTAAATGTATTATTCAAGGAGGCCAATAAAGTAAATGTATCTGTGCCCCTTGTATCATCAGCCTAAATCTGTAACCAGGAATTTAATTTTTAATAATAAAAAAAAGAAAGAAAAAGAGAAACGTCTGGTCTGGTCTTCACTTTTTGATTGAATACAGTTTTATATAACCAAACTTTAAATCGTGTGGGTGTGGGAAAACTGAGAGAAATGTTGCCTCGTTTATGAAATTCATATACCAGAGTGAATTACTCGGATAAGTCATGTTAACCACTAGATGTCGCAGTGGACATACAATTTGCATCTGTAACTTAACTATTTTCTGTATTTCACTCGAGGTTAAACCACAGTTAATGTTATGTTAAACTGTGAATTTCCACTCATCCATTACATAACAGTAAATATTGTGAAGGCTATGGAGGCTCTGTTAGGAGGAACTATTACTACATACTATCATACTACAGCTCATTTTAAAGGGGTCATATGATGCGATTTCAAGTTTTCCTTTCTCTTTGGAGTGTTACAAGCTGATTGTGCATAGATAAGATCCCTGAAGTTGCAAAGACTATTAAAGCATGTCAACATATTCTGTTACACCAAATACACAAAATAATGATCTTTAAAAAAGCATCATATGACCCCTTTTTAAGGGAATGCCCCTCAACTGAAGCCAGCTGGGAACACCCTTGTGTTTTTTCTGGTCCTTCAAAGTTTCACTTTTCTCTGCCCCTGTAAAAGTCTACATTTAAAGGAATAGTCCACACGAAAATGAAAATACTGTCATATTTTATTCTTCCTCAAGCCTGCATGAGCTTCTTTCTTCTGTGGAACACACACAGAAACAAATATTTTAAAGATGCATTAATTTTGTGTATTAAGTATTTCAAACTTTCATCTTTAGAGTGTAAACAGATAGAATCTTCCATATGCAAAAGGGTTGCTATGATACCTCTAGTTTATAACAATAGAAACAGATGTGGAAAATCTGGCCTCATGGTGAGTTTTTGTCTGGGCAGAGATGGAAGTTCTGAGTTTCCAGGAGAATGAGAGTGGTTTTTGTTAGTCACTGTAATAATACTTTAAGACTGTGGTTTGGAGCGCAAAAAAACAAACAAAAAAAACCCTGCAATTATGTTACACACAAGTGATTCTGCAACTTAATTTTAGCAATTTTAAAGTTGTTAAATATATAAAATGCACCAATACAATCATAAGTTGTATGTACTGCAAATTTTCTTACTATTTAATAAACCCAAAAGTGCTAGGGGACAAAACGTTTGAGTGTAATATGTGTAAAATTGTAATACATGGAAAATTAACAAATAATCACAACAAATAAATACATAAAATGAATAAAATTAGCCAAATGAGGTTTCCTTCTGCTTAAAAACTAGTTAGAAATTATGAGATTAATCACAATTATTTTATTCTATTGACAGCCATAGTTTTTATTCTTCTCAATCATAGAAGTTATCAGCCAGAAATATCCAATGTATTGAAAACTAAATATTTTCCCTGCACTCTGCGCATAAAAAAAAGTTCAGAATACTTAGTACTTGAATAGAATATTTTAATTTATTTTCAATTCTATAAACAGAAAAATTAGAAACTTTTCTTACAAACAATTCAATATATTTAAGACAAACAAATAATTACTTTAAAAGCGTGTGTTCATTAGCACATACTTGTCTGAAAAAGTTTAACAAAATACTTATTTGAAATCATTTGGACAAAGAAATTTATAAATATACACCTATATGTGGTGGATTATATAACACTAAATAACTAATAAAGTACATTCAGCTCAAACACATGCTTCAGCTACCAGATCAAGAGAATACAATATGGTTTGTATCACTAGATTACTATCAAAATAGCCTCACTTGTGCATTTTGCATGAAAGTGCTTGTATTTAATGTAAAGATTATGCTCCCAGCTGTTACTATTACATAAATGATTAAAATATTATTTATTCATGTAATAGATAGATCAACTATGACAGATGACAACTGTGATTATATGATTAAGAGGTGCTCTGTTTAAGTGTACTTATGTAAAAACACATACTGAATACTTCAATACAACGCTCAAATATTCATCATCAGTTGAAAAGTCATGACACACGCTTGACACACAGTCACAAAACCTCTCATCTTTCATATTTGGCCACAGATGTGTTTATAAACAGTGTCCTCATGACACTGAAGCAGCTGTTAGGTGTCCTTAGAGCTGGTTTCTAAAGGGAACGTGTTGACCCAGCTCTGTGTGCGGGCCAAGCACTCCTCCCAGCTGTAGAGTGGTCGGTACTGAAAGTGATGAAATGCCTTGTCTGTGCGGACAGTGAAGGATGTGCAGGCCACAGCAAGTGTGTATCCATTGAGCAATGGTGTGTAGTTGAAGAACGGCTTCAGAAGCCAGCGTATCAGGTCGTTCATCCACGCTATGAACCACAGCACCCACACTGGAACGTGCAACGGGCGAAAGTTGAAGGCCGACAAGAACTGCATGTTGAAGTCATCATAGCTCTTATATGGTGAGTCGTCATAGCAGAAATAAAATTCCCCACCCAGCCTATCGGGATGTTCCCGCAGGGCACGTGCTGCTAGCAAATGCATCCAAGCCACATTCCCTGCATGCACAAAAACACATTCAAGTTATTCAAGAGATTATGGGGCAGAGTCTCGGGCAACTTAATTATAGCAATTTTAAAGCCATTACATAAATACGTTCTATGTACTGCTTTTGTTCTTTTAATAAGTCCAACAGTACTAGTATGACTACAGAAAAATTCAGCAAAAAAAAAAAAACTAAATTAAATTGTTAATAATAATAATAGCATTATTATTATTACTACATCAAAAATAATTTAAAATTATTTCTAAAGACCAGACAAAAATTTGATTCATCACAATTAACTGATTCTATTGACAGTCATGGTTTATGTTTTACTTAAGGTTTATGCTTGAGGTTTATACAAGTAAAAGTAATCTAATAGTTATAAAAAGATAAATATTACTAGATATTTTCCAGACAATGTTTTACACTTGTTTATAATATATTTATTTTTCATATTATAAATATATATATATATATATATATATATATATATGTTTACATTTTTAGGAAGGGGGCCCTTGCATGGAGATTATTATAACTGGGGGTCTGTGGCATCAAAATGAAATGTTTAAAAACCTCTGTCTTAGACTGCGATCTGTCCTGTGACACAGATTTGATCAGATTCAGAGATAATAATAATAATAATAATGCACCATGTGTTCACTACACCTACGCATACTTGGTTTACAGTTTGATTGGTTTGTTAAATTTAATCATAAGTAGAAATTTATGTTAGATCAGGTTTTCTCTGCATGAATGTATTGTTCTGTTCCAGTGATGTGCTGTAGCTCAACCTTGGAGGGAAGAGATATTGCCTATGTTTTATCAAATTGTGATTGTAGGGGTTGAGTGATTGAGGCATGTGACTCAACTCAACCTTTATTTATAAAGCACTTTCAAAACCATAAAAATGGACCAAAGCGCTGTACACAAGCAGTATATAATAAAGATTAAAAAACATAAAACATTCAAACATAGGAACAAAACATAAAATAAAAGACAAGTCATTCACAATTGTCCTGACCAATCAAATGCCGAAAGCCTGATCAATCAAATAAGTCTTTAAGTCCTTTTTAAAAAGTCCATGCTTGATGAGGATTTTACAGATAATGGCAGAGCATTCCAAAGTGCTGGAGCCGCAACAGAAAAAGTGCAATCCCCACTCCGCCTCAGATAAGACTGTGGGACAGTCAAAAGCAAGCTCTGAGAGGAGCGCAATAGTTGATGCGATTGGTAAGGGACCAACATATCCCTTGTGTACTCAGGAGCCTGATCATGCTGAGCTTTATACACAAACATCAACAACTTGTTTTGTATTCGATATTTTACAGGAAGCCAATGCAAAGATACCAAGACAGGTGTTATATGATCCCATTTTCTAGTGTTAGTTAAAAGTCTTGCTGCAGCATTCTGAACATACTGAAGACACATAACCAGAGATTCACTTACTCCAAAGTATAAAGCATTACAATAGTCCAACCGCATTGAAATAAAAGCATGTATAACAGACTCTAAATCCTTGTTCGAAAGAATAGTTTTCAGTTCGGACAATTTCCTTAAGTTTTCACAATACTGTTCATTTGTCGGTCAAGATGGATTTCGGAATCAATAATTACTCCCAAGTTCCTCACATAACCACATAGACAATTGTCCCTGGCTTCTGACCATACCTTTCTGAAACTGCTGGTTACCAAATATAATAAACTCAGTCTTATCTTCATTTAATTTAAGAAAATTATTTGCAAACCAAGCCTTAACCTCTGCCAAGCACTTGCAAAAGTTTGTTAAAGAAAAACAACCGTGAAGCTCTAAAGGAAAATAAATGTGCAAATCACCAGCATACAGAAATAAAAATTGACCCCAGGGGCAGCATATATAAAGAAAACAAAGTTGGACCAAGAATAGATCCCTGTGGGACCCCCACAGGAGAAAGTAGCAGATGTAGAGACATCATTTCCTATTTTAACAGAACAAGTCCTATCCTGCAAATAAGAAGAAAACCACTTAAGAGCAATACCATTAATTCCAAAGTAATCCCTAAGACGTTCTATTAAAACACCATGATCTATAACAGAGGTGTTAAACTCAGTTCCTGATGGGCTGCAGCCCTGCAGAGTTTAGTTCCAACCCTGCTCCAACACTCAAACCATGTAGTTTTCAAATAAGCCTAAATTACTTGATTAGCTGGATCAGGTGTGTTTAATTAGGGTTGTATCTAAACTCTGCAGGGCTCCGGCCCTCCAGGAACTGAGTTTGACACCCCTGATCTATAGTGTCAAAAGCAGCGCTCAAGTCCAACATCATTAGGGCAACAACCTTCCAGGAGTCAATACTCAAAAATATATAATTTAAAACCTTAAGCAGCGCTGATTCTGTACTGTGCTTGGTCTGAAATCCAGACTGAAAGACATCCATTATACCATGACCATGCCAAAGGAATAGTCTCCAGCAGACTTCAACAGCAGCCCAGATGAGAAGAGTCCTTCCAGGTATTTATGACTCACCTATGACCCTTACCAAAGTTGCATATGCATACAGAACATGAGGTGCCAAAGATAATGTACTTAACTTGTCAGGGACAGAATACCATGCTTGGATGTTGCTAGAGTTGTCTGTACTGTTAACCTATCAGAACCTGTAGAAATGACGTCAACTGATCATCCATATGGTTATAAGCACTAGTGTAAGTACTAAGTACTGACTTAACTTCAAATTTGACTCCTGGTCTTCATTGAACATACTGGTCTCTCTATGGGGTTTAACTGTACTGTAATTCCCCTACAGGATTAACCAATCAAATCAAATCAAAAACAGTGAAGCCATTTTTCTGTTCCACTGTTGCCATGGTTTCTGGGTTTTGCTGGTTACCTGCATAGACCCGTCCGTGCTCTGTGTTCCGTGGAACTCCCTTGATCACCCAACCACCTGTACGGACCCCATTCAGATAAAAGTCCTTCATGAGCTGATGCTGTTCCCCATAGATACCTGTTGGCCGTAGAGAGCATGTGTAGAGAGTGTTCCCTCCCTTTACCTAATCATGGAGAGTGGGACAAAGGAGAGAGAGAGAAATCAATAATTGATTATAGCAGAAAAATAAAGAAATTGTCTTTCTATTACATTACATGTCACTCAGATGCAGAAGATACATCAATAGCATTATAAAGATTTATAGTGTTTGAAAACGTCAGTGAATGCATGGCATGCTGAAACACTAACAGCAAAAGAGTAACTAAAACCAACCATATATAATTTAAGGCTTCGAACTTGAGTATGTGATCTTCATTTTCCATGGGTTTGGGTGGGTGCAGTATTGCGCAAAGTTAGAAAATAGCAACTAGACCAATGTAAATGAGAAGCACGCGTTCCAATTTCATCTAAATGTCAGTAGATTTTATTCAACATAAAAGTAAACTTGCTGTTGGATGTTTTGGATGATATTATAACATTGCTCATGAATATAAGAAAATGTTAAAAAGAATAAAGTAATTATTTTAGAAAGATTTTAGAAGAAAAGCAATTTAATCATCTAACTTCCTACATGTGAATTAAAGATAGAAAACAGTTTATTAATAGCTAAAAAACAAAACAAAAGAGAGCTGCGTCCATTCATTAATCAAACACTTGTTTGTTTACAAATACAGATTGTACATTTTCTATTTGATTAAACATGCTAAAATGGAAAAGTCAGGGTCCTTTCTAAATCAATGTGTTATTGTTGCACTCCACAAAACTGTGTTGTACCTTTGTGCCATTGGCTTCCAGCACCATTTTCTCAGCTGCAGCTTTGGTCTTAGGGTAAGGCATCTCATGGAATATATTATATGGAGTATCCTCATTCCCTCTGTGTCAAGGAAGAACAACATCAAGAGTTAAAATCTGGGCAAATGAAAGGTAGTTAAGTAATAGGTAGCAGAGCTACCAATACACAGGAAGTATTAAGTTAAGACCTAAACCAGATCCTTTACTGAAATCAAGTGCTTGACCCAACCAGTGCTGTCAAATTATACCCAAACTCATACCCACAATGCTCACTCTCTTTGTATATCCTCTACTCTCTAAATGAGTAGACATGGATGCGTTCTTACAGCTTGCACAGAAGACATGTGAAATGCATACACAAATTACACTACATCCTGACGAAACATAACAGATTTAAACAAAGTTGACGCCTATCCCTGTCTGTCCTTGCAGAGTGAGTGTAAAATTTTAAATGTTTAGTAAAATATTGGATTTGAGTATGTATGTATTATTATTTGTAGTTATTTTAAGGTATAATTTTTGGTTTGAGTTCGGTTGGGGTTTGTTATTATTAATGATGATTATTTATAGAAATATTTTGTTTCATTTTACTGTAGCATTAAACAATGTAAAAGAAGCACAGATATTACAACAAATGTTTTTTCCAGAGGCTTTCATCAGCATGCTGTCACGGAGACGCAACCATCTCAGATCACAATCAACCTATAGTGTCAGATCAGCAAACTCCGCCCACTCGTTCACTCTCCCCGGAGTTCTAATTCACCACACCTGCACCTCCTCATCAGTACACACCTTAAAGGCACTCACAACCTGCACTCCTTTGTCTGGTCTCGTCGTTCCTACATGAACAGACTCCTAACCTGCTACCCACCTGCCTACAAGGATCCAGTGTTCTGTTACCTGTTCGTTCCAGCACCTGCAAGAGAGACATTCTGTTATCATTCAGCTAAGTCATATGAAGCTCCATAGAGCTTCCATACCCACCGTTGCTACATTCTCGTTCCTGTCCTGTGCCAGCCATTCAATAAACTGTTTATATTACACTCACCTGTCTGTCCTCTTCTATTGTGTGACAGAAGACCAGACTTCAAGACGCATCCACCACCGGGGTTGGTGCGGTCCTATCACAGCGGCAGGGTGATCCTCCATGCCTCCATCCATGTGCCTACTTCTCTAAGAAACTGTCCTCGGTGGAGCAGAACTATGACATCAGTAATCGGGAGCTTCTAGCCATCAAGCTAGCCCTGGAAGAGTGGAGACATTGGCTGGAGGGAGCAAATCACTGCTTTGATGTTATCACGGATCATTGGAATCTCCAATATCTGCGTGAAGCCAAACGCCGTAACCCACGTCAAGCCGGATGGGCCCTATTCTTCACCAGATTCAACTTCACTGTAACCTATCGTCCTGGTAATAAGAACTTGAGGGGTAATGCCCTTTCATGACTTTATCAACCCAATCCTGAACCCAGCTCTCCAGAACCCATTCTCCCTCCAGCCATGATTATCAGTCCCATCCACTGGTCCATTGATCAGATTGTACAGGCTGCAAGCTCTGAACCTGTTCCGCCGGGAGGTCCTAAGGGGTTCCTCTACGTTCCATCAGCTCTTCGCCTGCCCCTCATGGACTCTGCCCACAACTCTCCGGGCTCTGGACACCCAGGTAGTCAACATACCCTCTCGCTCCTATGTCATCGTTACTGGTGGCCCTCCATGGCCCAGGACATCTCCCGATTCATCAAGGGATGTTCAGTCTGTGCTGTCACCAACACACCACGCAAAGTTGGTCCCACTACCCATTCCACACCGTCCATGGTCCCACCTGGGGATAGATTTCATGACCGACCTTCCTCCTTTGGATCACCACACGTGTGTTTGTCATTGTCGACCGCTTCTCCAAAGCCTGTAAACTCATGCCTCTGAAAGGCTTACCCACTGCATTTGAAGCCGCAGAAACTCTTTTCCAGCCATTTTGGTCTACCAGAAGACCTAGTATCAGACCGTGGCCCTCAATTCATCTCACGGGTATGACAAGTCTTCAAGCTCCTGGGAGTTTCCGTCAGCCTCTCCTCCGGTTACCATCCACAAACTAACGGCTAGACTGAGCGGTAGATCCAAGAGATTGGGAGGTACCTGCGCTCCTACTTCCACCAGAACCAGGACAGTAGGAGCCGATTCCTCCCCCTGGGTGTAGTATGCCCAGAACTCCCTCAGGCAGTCCACCACCGGGCACACCCCTTTCCAATGTATCCTTGGGTACAAGCCTCCTTTGTTCCCCTGGTCCGGTGAGCCCTCGGAGTTTCCAGCTGTCAATCACTGGTACGAGCAAAACAAGAGGGTGTGGGACTTGGCACACGTGCATCTCCAACAAGCAGTGCGGAGACGCAAGCTGACGCCCACAGAACATCGACCCTCTCGTTATCAACCAAATGATGTCACATACAGACTAAACTTACCACCTCACTACAGAATCTCACCTTAATTTCATGCATCACTCCTTAAAGGTGACATATCATGAAAATCTGACTTTTCCAGGTTTTAAGTGCTATAATCAAGTCCCCAGTGCATCTACCAAGCAAGGAAACGTGAAAAAGATTAACCCAGTAACTTTGTTTTGGGAAGCCTTTTTCTGCAAGCGTCTGAGAAAACGAGCGCATCTGATTTTGCTCCCTTGGTGACATGGCAAAGGGATCTCATTATAATATTACCCTACATTATCGTTCCTACATGAACAGACTCCTAACCTGTTACCCACCTGAACACTCACCTGCTGCCAAGGATCTTCTGTTACCTGTTCCTTCCAGCATCTGCAAGAGACATTTTGTTGTCATATCAAGCTCCATAGAACTTATATACTCACCGTTGCTACATTCTCGTTCCTTTCCTGTGCCAGCCATTCAATAAACGGTTTATATTTGTCTTGTTTATACCTGTCTGTCCTCTTCTGTTGTGTGACATGTGCACTGGAGTGCAAAAATATATATATTTATTTTTAGGGACTAGTTGGTTATGACAGCAGACACTTTCCAGCAAAAACAAATTTTATTTTCATTACCTTAGAAAGGCATTACCCATGGCAAGCAACTGATGTTTAGCAACAATATTAAATATCCAAACACTCCACTCCACAGGAACTTGAGAAAAATGTGGAGAAAGGGGGATAAGAGAGGAGAGCTGAAATATAAGCTCGATGCTTTTAAATGATTAAGTTTTCTATGTGAATGTGTGCGTGTTTGTTTCCAAAAATATAGGAAAATAATTTAATCTGAGGGGAATAAAAATCTCAAAACTGTGTTAGTCACTCTCCAAGGAAAATGTTAATGTTTCTAGCACGTGGCAGTAATGGAAAAGTTTCAAGGCTTTGCTCTGTGTGCTGTTTTAATCAAAGTTCTAGGCAAGACATCACAACCAGATGTGAAACTACTTAAAAGTCAACCAAAAGTTGTCATTTGGATCACTGATAAGACTTCGTGACAAATTTTCTTTGGTTGATTACTAGGCCAAACCACAATAGAGCATTCACAAACTCGTACACAATCTCCGCCCTTCGCATGTTTTTACATATTTTGGTTAAATTAATTGTGCTTTCATCAGCCAATAACAGTGTAGTACTTTTAAACCCATGTTTTAACATCATAACATGCAAAATTCATGAGTTTCCTTCAAAATCAGCACAAAAAATTAGGGGAAAAAAAATCAACAGATTCCATCTGGGCTGACTATTTACAGAGCTGGCAACGGTTACTTCAGAAATCTCAACATTAGATGACATATGATCACAAGATGTGCTTTGAGACATACAAGTGTCACTTATCAGGTGACAAAGGAAAACAGCAGAAACTTCTCTATATACAGACACTTTTTGATCATTAGGATGATAGGAATAACATACTGTGGCCTGTAATCTTTCAGCTTGAAAGATACTTCTAGATGGAATGTTATGTACGTTGTGGAATTCCGCTGTCATTCCAGAATGCGTTCAAATCCTTTAAACACTTTTATTTATTTTTAGCGAATATATTTAATTTTAAACATATCACTTTGTAAAAACTTCTTACATATATCAAAAAGCTATTTAAATATAAACACTTACCTGATAAATGTATCTCCTTTTACATTTGGACCAACCACCTCCATGGAGCTTGTATAGACCAAATACTGAATACCGATTTCCACACATGCGTTTATTACATTCTCTGTCCCTGATGGAGAACATCCAAAAAGAATAAGTATTAAAAACGCATGACAAACACCAATAGGGTGAGGAAAACAGGAACTCTACTAAAACAAAAGAAAGACCTAAAACCTGTTTGTGTTGCTTTAACTGACATTAATGAGAATCATTAGGTTTGTAAAATTTCAAAATCCCTGGTAGCCCTTCGGGCAGGTACTCTTCAGATTTTGGTAGCCCGAAAATTAATTTAACTAGCCCAAATAAAAAAAATATAGAATTTTTTTTTTAAATATAGAAAATCAGATAGGAGTTTAAATGTCAATCAAAATATTTTCAATACACAAATATCAACAAATATGAAGGAAGGAATTTTATTTCACTATTTACAGGGTATCTACAGAATTTTTAAAAATACATTTAAGGCAATTTATGACCCATTTTAAGAGCTGCACAAGTAAAATGAACACAGTATGAGTGGGGTTGGACAATGTCTATGGTAACATACAGTACTGAGCCATAAAATTACATGATTTACAGTTCAGATACAGGTTTTCACAAAAACAAAAATCGTATACAACAGCATTTCAGCCTTTAGACCATTTTTATGAAAAGGGATAAATCGAGCATATAAATTGTCAATTTAAAACGTATAAATATTACTGTCTTAATTGTTTAGATTTTTAGAAGGCACATTAACTTCTTTCTCATTTACAACTCTATGTGTTTGCTGCATAAAAACACAAGTTGATATTTGCGTTGATCTGACCATAAACAAAGAAAGGCTTATTGGAAATGCAAATTCATTCTCTGCCACTAGGTGGCGCTTTAGGAGCGCTGAAATATTGCGGTTTCCCGGTAACGGCTGTACACAAAGCAGCTCCGCCCTCATAAACGCTGCTTTATCAGGAATTATAGGTAAAATTAAAATAAAACGCCAACGACACGTTTCTGAGGACAGTCGGTTCCCTTCAGATACATTCAAATAAAGACATATGCGCCGCGTTTTTGACTTGAAAAGTGCAGCGCTCATATTTGTTCAATGACATCATTGCCTTTTGACGTTTAATCCAGTCGTATTGCGCGACTCTTGTCTTTCCGTCACCAACTGTAAGACCTCTTGAAATTATAATTAAGACATTTCTTATACCATTTAACGCATTTAAAAATTGTATGGCCTTAAGTTTGATAAAACTCACATTAGGAGTTTTTAAGGACCCGCGGGAGATCTGCATTTAAGGTAGCCTGTCGCAGAGTGGTGATACATTTTTGGTAGCCCGACTGGAAAACACAATAGCCCCGGGACGTCGGGCTAGCGATTTTGCGAGCCCTGTGACACAATGCCTAAATTCCAAGTAATGTTGTGATACAGCTGGAAGCACCAGATAGATTGAATGAGAATCCCATCAGCTATTCAAAAGCTTTCTGAAGTATCAGATCAAATGATAAGTGAAAAAACAAAGGTAACCAAATGTGTATTTTTTTTATCTAGACCCATTCAATGGTATTCAAAGAGGAGATTTCTAGAGAAGTATGTGGAATGCAAATGTGAGAGCAAAAGAAAAAAAATGATATGATAGGGCAGAATCCAAACTAAAGGAAAATTCCAGTATGAAAACACACTCATCATCTCCTGCTCCTGTTTTCATCTGTATCCTGTGGGTTTGTCTGTATCTATTAATGCTATACTGACACAGACCTAAATATGTTAGGAACCCATTACCAGTAAAGTCTATTACCACAGATGAATAAGTGTAAACACATGAAAGGAATGAGACTGATCTGAACACATAAATAAATAATCATATCTGTGATAGTCCAGACGTTTTCACTCATGCAGGTGATGATGCTGAATGCATTAACAATGTCAGACATTTTTTTAAATCTAGAGCTGACCTTTTTTTTTATCAGCTTGAGGTCAACTGCAAATGCTCCATTTCTCATAAAGCCACATGATCTGTCTAGGCTAGCAGGAGATTTTCTTGTACAATAGCAGTGGACTACAGTTAAAAAGCACATATTTTTATCTTATTATGCTCACTTCATTACATGCACTAAAAAATACGACAATTCCCGCCTTGTTTGTGAGTAAATTATGCATTTCCGGACCAAACCGACAGTAAAGCTGTAAGGTTACTGGAAATGTCACCAAAGGAAAACCGGGGGAGAAACCAAAACAACCCACTAACATTTACTATGACAGTCAAAAAAAACAAAAAAAAACCCACTACCGTTTGGGGTCACTAGGATGTTTTTAAAAGAAATTCATCCTTTTTTTCAAAGCAAGGATGCATTAAAATTTTTAAAAAGCTTATTCAAAAAATGCAGATCTTTGACCTTTCTGTTCATCAAAGAGTTCTGTAAAAAAATAATGAATAAAAACAATCACGATTTCCATTAAACATTGATAATAATAAAAAGTTCCTTGAGCAGCAAATCAGCATATTAATAATTTCTGAAGGATCATGTGACACTGAACACTGGAGTAGTGATTGCTAAAAATTCAGCGTTGTCATCACAGGAATAAATTGCATTTCAAAATATATTAAAATAGAAAACTGTTTTTTTATTATTGTAATAATATTTCAAAATATTACAGTTTTTACTGTATTTCATCTGTATCCTGTGGGTTTGTCTGTATCTATTAATGCTATACTGACACAGACCTAAATATGTTAGGAACCCATTACCAGTAAAGTCTATTACCACAGATGAATAAGTGTAAACACATGAAAGGAATGAGACTGATCTGAACACATAAATAAATAATCATATCTGTGATAGTCCAGACGTTTTCACTCATGCAGGTGATGATGCTGAATGCATTAACAATGTCAGACATTTTTTTAAATCTAGAGCTGACCTTTTTTTTATCAGCTTGAGGTCAACTGCAAATGCTCCATTTCTCATAAAGCCACATGATCTGTCTAGGCTAGCAGGAGATTTTCTTGTACAATAGCAGTGGACTACAGTTAAAAAGCACATATTTTTATCTTATTATGCTCACTTCATTACATGCACTAAAAAATACGACAATTCCCGCCTTGTGTGTGAGTAAATTATGCATTTCCGGACCAAACCGACAGTAAAGCTGTAAGGTTACTGGAAATGTCACCAAAGGAAAACCGGGGGAGAAACCAAAACAACCCACTAACATTTACTATGACAGTCAAAAAAAACAAAAAAACCCCACTACTGTTTGGGGTCACTAGGATGTTTTTAAAAGAAATTCATCCTTTTTTTCAAAGCAAGGATGCATTAAAATTTTTAAAAAGCTTATTCAAAAAATGCAGATCTTTGACCTTTCTGTTCATCAAAGAGTTCTGTAAAAAAATAATGAATAAAAACAATCACGATTTCCATTAAACATTGATAATAATAAAAAGTTCCTTGAGCAGCAAATCAGCATATTAATAATTTCTGAAGGATCATGTGACACTGAACACTGGAGTAGTGATTGCTAAAAATTCAGCGTTGTCATCACAGGAATAAATTGCATTTCAAAATATATTAAAATAGAAAACTGTTTTTAATATATTGTAATAATATTTCAAAATATTACAGTTTTTACTGTATTTTTGATTAAATAAATATAACCTTGGTGAGCATAAGAGACTTCTCAGACTGTTGAATGGTAGTGTATCTTTTATCTTGTAGTATCCTCCAGTCATTTCACAGGTGACTTCCTAAACTGTATTCTGAAGCTAACTTCTAAACCCTTTCAAAGTGCAAAACATTGACATCACTTCTACAAAGTCACTGTTATCTGTCTCCTTTTGTTTTTCAATCTTATTCTTCACTCACCTTGTACATTGACAGCATAGATGGCCTTCTCAGGGACCTTATACCAAACATCAACCAAACTAGCTGCGTGGAAAACCAGGTCTGCTCCCTGAAAGGCATCACGCACACTCCCATAATCTGTTATATCACCCTGTACCCCCACCACCTTCAAATGTTCTGTGGATAAAAGAGAAAGAGATAATATACCTTGTTAAAAGTATAGGAGTTGTTAGATTTTTGATATGCAGGCGTATTTATATATATATTTTTATGTCAAATAAGGTAGTTGTCATGGAAAAACATAGGCAGCTGAGAACTGATGTAACTACCAGTGCATAAAATAAAATTGAAAAGATTTCAATAGTAGTGTAATCTACTTAAAAAAACATCCGTTTTCTTTGTAGCACAACAAAGTGTGTCCGTGCTTCATGTATTCCAGTGAATGAGTGAGTGTGTGGGTGTAACCAAGGTCACTTTGGACAGCATCCTGTTATCTCTATGATTTACCTTGGAAAGCTTCCTGATATTACTTCTAGGATCAAGTGATATTTTTGATTACAATGACACAATTATCTAAAACAGGAAACAAACAATCTTCTTGGTGGAAGCAACACCCTCGTGTCCTTGTAAACAAAATACATTGCAGGCGTATTTATATATATATTTTTATGTCAAATAAGGTAGTTGTCATGGAAAAACATAGGCAGCTGAGAACTGATGTAACTACCAGTGCATAAAATAAAATTGAAAAGATTTCAATAGTAGTGTAATCTACTTAAAAAAACATCCGTTTTCTTTGTAGCACAACAAAGTGTGTCCGTGCTTCATGTATTCCAGTGAATGAGTGAGTGTGTGGGTGTAACCAAGGTCACTTTGGACAGCATCCTGTTATCTCTATGATTTACCTTGGAAAGCTTCCTGATATTACTTCTAGGATCAAGTGATATTTTTTATTACAATGACACAATTATCTAAAACAGGAAACAAACAATCTTCTTGGTGGAAGCAACACCCTCGTGTCCTTGTAAACAAAATACATTCTTCTCATTCTCACTTGCAGCTATTTTTTCAAACAATGAACACGGTCATTCATAACTGCTCTGCAAAGATTTCCTGTGGCGTATTTCTGATCTCTTAAGTTTCCAGTTGCTTTTGCACATATGCATTTAACAACTCCATAGATTGACAGGTTTTTGAACCATACACAGGACAAACAATAATTACTGTGATGAGTTATCAGCGGCTGTGAATTGCAGATGTTCAAATAAACACGTCTCTAGGATCCCTCACATCTGTGTGATGGTTACTTAACTGAGCTTTATAATAGTAATAAATAACATACACTCTTAAAAATAAAGGTGCTTCACGACGCCATAGAAGAACCTTTTTGTCTAAATGGTTCCATAAAGAACCTTTAACATCTGAAGAACCTTTCTGTTTCACAAAAGGTTATTTGGGGCGAAAGAAGGTTCTTCAGATTATAAAAAGGTAAGAAAGAGATGGTTCTTTAAAGAAACTTTGACTGAATGGTTCTTTGTGGAACCAAAAATGGTTCTTCTATGGCATCGCTTGAAGAACCTTTTGAAGCACCTTTATTTTTAAGAGTGTATGAAAAGTCTGCCGATGAATAAAAACTTTCCAAGTAGTCACACAAAATCAGTCACATACAAAAAAAACTCTTACTAGCTCAATGTGCAAGTAGGTCAATGTTCGCTTCTGATAAGTTTATCTAACCTTTCTGTTGACATTTGGACTTTGACCACATGCCAAGCTGTTGTCAATTTCAAGCATCATTCCCTCATAACTAGCAAAGTATGTGAGGACTAGAATACATTTGGGCAGGACAGTGGATGCTTGTTGTATGAGATCCACTAAATAAAAGAGCCAACAAACTCTGGCTAATAAAAAACATTTGACACACAAATTAGATCCAGCTATAACCAAATTCAAATTCTTACTTCCCTTGTGCATCTATTCCTCTGTTGTGCTTCAGCTAGAGCTACATATCTGCTGAAAATGAGAGATCAATTTATCCATGATAACGTAATCAGTGAGGGTTGGTGAATACAGTGAATAAGATCCCAAAATCCCATTGTACAGAGCTGGACATCAGCCGAATGGAGCATCCTGGTGGGTGAAAAGGAAGGTGAAATGGGCTGGATGGAAATGACTGGTGTTGCCTGACCTTTCCAACTGAACCAAGCCCAAATATACACCAATAAAGCCAAAGCTATGTAATAACAAGAATGAACCTTTCCATTTCCTTTGTCATTTCAATGATCTTTCCCGTTATTGAAGTCATAGAAACAACAGATGTTTCCCCTGGGGTCTTACAGAAACTGCATCCTATACTGTGAACGTCACGAACACAGGCATATTTTCAGGAACTATATGAAATATAGGGCGTTTCTTTAATGTTGGGAACTTTAAAATATTACATTTTTAAAAGTATGATAATCTTCAGAAAGAATATGCAAACAATTTCGATATTTATGATGTAAAAATGAGCTCAATGTTTCTACAATTTTTCCAGTGGTCTCTCAGTTTTGTGGCGTGATTTACAACACAACCACTTGGTTAAAGTGTCAGTCTGAGAAATGAAAGAGCAATCTTGACATGAAAGACGAAGAAAATAAAGAACGATCAAGGTATATGTCATTTCCAGTCAAAATTATTTTTAATTTGGTCAACTTGTGCAACAATAAATGTTAGATATAAAAGGATGCACAGCAAGATAAACGAGTGTCATTTTATTCCAAAAATGTTTCAAATGTCTTTTAAATCACAGAATGTTCTCACAAACACAATACATCATTTGAGATGTAATGGAAATGTTAATTACATTAAAAAACATTACATAATCACGTCCTCTGTGATTTTTATGTACTGTTGGACATTAAATAAACTAGTCCAAGTGAGAAACGTAATGAAGAAACATCTGGTTATTACATAGATAGGGCGTTTGTCCAAAAACACGCATGTATGCAATGAACGGGTAATAATAGGCTACTTAAGACAACCATGAGCGTAATAATAGCTAAAAAGCCATTTTAAATGACTGTGGGCACTAACAAGCTCGTAATCATATAATGAACAGTTTGTTTCAAGTGTTTCTTACCTGTACTGTGACTTCGTAGACTTGGGTAAACGTTTTTATCGAAAAGCCTTATCTCCTTGATATTTTCTTCCTTCTCCAACAAAACTCTCAACAGGTGCTGCCCGAGAAAACCGCATCCTCCAGTTATCACGTAAGTTAACTTCGATTTCTCAATAGACATATTATTACTCCGTTGAATCCTCTCCTGATTTTGACTGTGTTTATCCGTCAGTGTTCACCGACGCCGGTCTGCTGGTCCACTCTGCGAACGTAACGGAAAAGAAAGACAAGACTAGCCTTAAAACTATGTGCAGTTCAACGGGACTAGCTGAGAATGACCAAATCTCCTTAATTACAAAACGGCTAGCATATATGACAGTCTGAATGCGGGTAGGCTAACGTTATATGAACAGCCACTCCTCCTAGCAGGGCCGTCTTAGCTGACATTATTATTACTAGGGATATAACGATGCATCCCGAACCGGTTGAAAAGCGATGAAAATATTTTACGATTCAAATCGGTTGTGATGTTAAAGGGGTCATATGATGCGATTTCAATTTTTCCTTTCTCTTTGGAGTGTTACAAGCTCTTGGTGCATAAAGAAGATCTGTAAAGTTGCAAAGACTAAAGTCTCAAATCCAAAGAGATATTCTTTATAAAAGTTAAGAGTCAGCCACACCTACCTAAAATGGCTCGTTCTAACACGCCCCCACATGTCTACGTCAGGATGTGGGAAGATTTGCATAACGCCGCCCAAATGTTCACACAAAGAAAGGCGGCATAATTTTTATTCTCACTGTAGTATTGTTGCTTGGCCTTCCAAAAGAGGACGATATTCGCTTCGTCATGCCTAGAGCTGATCCGTGCTGGTCGCTGAGGAAATACATCAACTTCTCGCTGTGGATCGCCGGATCGGCTTTCACCGTGGACGAAGCGGAGTCCAGCCCGGGG